CCAACACCGGTGGCTCCTCAATTGATGGCTTGGTTGGCGGAGTTTTGCAATTTTCAAGATCCAAAGATAGTTTCCTAGGCTCATATGAATATGAACCCATTCCATGCAATGCATTCACGCACTCCACTCTACTGGCATCATCATTGGCATCCATGTTAGAAGCAGGGATTCAAGAGGATCTTCAACATTAATCAAAGCACTTGTGTCTTCCACTATCACTGCCGTGACAATGTCCACAAATGAACACACCTCCGTACTATTGGGTTGCCTCATTGACTTGCACACATGAAATACCACCTTTTCATCACCCACATGGAATGTTAACTCCCCTGCTTCCACATCAACCAACGCCTTCCCCGTAGCTAGGAAAGGTCTTCCAAGAATAATAGGCACTTCGAAATCCACTTCGCAATCCAATATGACAAAGTCGGCCGGCAATATAAATTTGTCCACCCGGACAAGCACATCGTCTATTATACATAAAGGCCTCTTTATCGACCGGTCCGCCATTTGAAGTCTCATTGAGGTTGGCCTAGGTTGCCCAATTCCCAAAGTCTTGAAGACTGAGTACGGCATCAAATTAATGCTAGCCCCCAAGTCACATAGGGCCTTAGCAAAGTCCGCACTTCCGATAGTGCAAGGAATAGTGAAAGCTCCAGGGTCTTCTAGTTTCGGTGCCATAGAATGCACAATCGCGCTAACTTGGTGCGTCATCTTTATTGTTTCACACTCCATAGAACGCTTCTTGGTGACTAAATCCTTCATAAATTTTGCGTACCCAGGCATTTGTTCAAGTGCCTCCACTAAAGGAACATTGATTGTGAGGCTCTTCATCATGTCTATGAATTTCTTGAACTGATTGTCGCTCTTTTGCTTTGGTAACCGCTGAGGATATGGTGGAGGTGGTCTAGGCAAGGGTGCCTTTGCCTTGGGTACCGTCGGCTCAGGTATATCAATAATGTGTTCCTTAGACGGGTTCACGGTCTCTTGATTCTCTACCCCGGCCTCATCATCAATATCAATCCGCACATCATTTGTCACTATTGGTTCAACCATATTGCCAACATTCAAAGGTGCATCATCATCATGCAACTCAATTTCATCATTCACAACTTGATTCTCAACCGAGGCATGCACATCACCGCCTCTTCCACTCCTAGTTGTAACCGCCATCATATGATTGTTACCCCCTTCGGGTTCACTACCGTATCACTTGGTAGCGCACCTTTTGGGCGGGTATTTAAAGCTTGAGAGATTTGTCCTATTTGTACCTCTAGGTTCCGGATAGATGTGTTATGCGAAGCCAATTGTGCATCAGAATCTTGGTTCTTTTTTATCATCTACTCGAACATCATTTCTATCCGTCCCATATCACTTCCAGAAGAACTAGGCCCTTGTGACTGAATGGGGGGTGGATTGTTTGGTTGTTGGAACATGGGGGCCTTTGAAAGCCTTGCCCCCTACCACCATTATTCCACCCTCCTTGATTGCTATTGTTGTTGTTCTAATTGTTGTTGTTCTCATTCCAATTGCCTTGGTTATTGCCTTGATTACCCCAATTGTTGCTTTGATTGTTATTGTTCCAATTGTTGCCACCCTGTTGTTGATTATTGTTATTCCAATTGCCGCCTCCTTGTTGATTGCCCCAATTGCCCTGGGGGCGCCATTGTTGATTTCCTCTATTTCCTTGGTAGTTATTGACATATTGGCACTCCTCACTTTGATCATCAAAACACTCATTCGAATAACCACTACCATCGTTGTTGTTGTCAAACTGGTCACCGCTACTTTGAGGTTGTTGTTGCCCTCTTTGCCTCCTTTTTAGCATAGAAACATTCTCCATTGCATTGACTTGGCGTGGGTTTTGTACTTGTTGCAATTGCGCCTTCGCCAACTGATTCATTGTAGTTGTAAGTTCGGCAATAGCTTGGCCATGATCACTCAACTCCTTATGCAAATGGATGATCGTGGGGTCACCTTGGGGTACATTCGCTCGGCTTTGCCATGCCGAAGAGGTGTCCGCCACTTCATCAAGTACGTCACATGCCTCTTGGTAAGAAAGTTTCATAAAGTTCCCACCAGCAAATTGGTTCACAATGCATTGATTTGTGGTGTTGATGCCCCTATAGAAAGTCTGTTGGATCATCGCCTCAGTCATGTCGTTGTTAGGGCATTCCTTCACCATTGTTCTATATCGGTCCCAAATCTCATGCAATGGCTCCGTAGGCATTTGCTTAAAAGCTAGAATCTCGTCTCGAAAAGCCGCCATATGACTTGGAGAAAAGAACTTAGCAATAAATTTGTCCGCCAATTCATCCCATGTGGTGATAGAATGATTTGGTAACCTTTCTAACCAGTCCAACGCTTTGCCCCGAAGAGAAAATGGGAAAAGCCTCAATCTCAACGCATCCTCTGACACGTTTGTTTGTTTGCTGCCCCAGCAAGTATCTACGAAACCCTTCAAGTGCTTGTATGCATTTTGGTCGGAGGCGCCCGTAAAATATCCCCTTTGCTCGAGTAAGGTCAACATGACATTTGTGATTTGAAAGTTCCCCGCCCGGATTCGGGGAGGAACGATGGCACTCGCGTACCCTTGATTAGGAAGAACTCTTGGGACCGCTCTTGGCGGTGGCGGAGGAGGGTCTGGAATAGGATTGTTGTCATGTACATTAGCATTGGCATTTCGACCTCTCCGTGGTACTTGAGGTACCAGAAGCTCATCTTGCTCAACATCTTCAACCTCCTCCCCCGCCAAGGCATTGCCAAGAGGGTCATTTCCGTTTAGAGCCATGTGTACCTGATGGATCAACACAAATAAAGTTAGTAAAAAGAAGGAAAGAGAAGCAAAACACAAAACTAGCTACACAAATAGTCAACACCATAAGCTCCCCGGCAACGGCGCCAAAAAGTGATTAGGTCGCAGCGGACTCAACCTTAGGAAGAGTGGGCGCTAATACTTTTACCCAATAGTGGTATCGGGGTCAATTTCCACAGGGAGCTAGAAAGGGAGTTGGATATTTGCTTAGCCTAGAAATGCGAGTTTGCTTCTAATTGTTCTTCTATCATTTTTGGGTTTTTATGATTATCAACTACAAATTAGCAACTACTAATTATAACTAAATTATGCTAAGATATTAATTCTAGGTTGTATGCAAGATAGAGAAAGGCACTAGGGTCGTGGCATTTACCTAGGTGGTTAATTAACGGGTAGAGATGCCTAATACAAGAATGATGATTATGGGGCTTATGCTATAACCGTTGCACGATTGCACCCACTCTCACACCTCTCGGTAGAAAGAGTAATTTTGCCCAATTGACTCTCTCGAGACCAATTGGGTAGGCTAACAAGCCAAGCAACTTATGGTTCAAGTTGGGTAATTACTCTCTCGAGGTTTTACCCGTTAATTGGGACTACCATTCTCATGGGTCCATCCCAATTCCTTGTTGGGTTAACTTTGGAGTCATAGACACTCTTTCTCAAGAAGAGTCAAGACTCACTAAGCTAGACTTAGTGTTTGCAACCATCAAATCCTAGTTAAAAGATAAAATTAACCCAAATATCAAACACCCAACATCATTCAAGCATTAAACAATCACACCCATTAATTACCCACACTAGGGTTGAGCCACAACCCTAGCTAATGGGTTTAGCTAGCCATAATAGCAACAGAAATTGAAGAAGAAGTTGATAAAATCAACATATTAATTAACTAGAAGGTTAATCTACAAGAATCTACGTTAAAACAAGATAAAAATGCCCAAAATAGGCTAAAACTTGAGTCTCACGAGTGCTGCTGCTATCTGATGTCTAAAACTTAACCTAGAAATAATAAAATATTCTATTTATACTATGCTAGAAAAATCAGATAAAAATACCCCTGCAGGGCTGGCGCGGACCGCGCAGAAATGCAGCGCGGCCGCGTAGGGGTCTTGGCCTTCGATCATTCACTTCTGAAGCTGGGGACGCGGACCGCACAAAGAGGTAGCACGGCCGCGCAGGCTAATGGGCGCGGACCGCACAACAATGATGCGCAACCGCGTAGACACCAGCGCTGACCGCGTAGAAAAGAGCGTTGACCGCGCGTGGAGACTTCTGAAATGGGTGCTCTCTGAATCTCCTAGCGCGGCCGCGCAGCAAATCAGTGCGGTCCACGCTAGGTCCTCATGTCCCTACTTCAATGATTTTTGACATTTGAGCAGGTTTCACTCCGTTTCGAGCCGATTCTTGACTTTCGTCATCTTGTCGCTCAAACCTGCAATCAAGCGCACTTTGTAAGCATTCTGGGTCTATTTTATGACAATTCATACATAAAGCATAGGCAAGTATGGGCATAAAACGTGTAAAAATCACAGTTATCATGCCACTCCTTTAGGACAAAGCTCCAAAAGTTTTGGAGTTTGAAAATATTATTATGTATAAAAAAAGGTTTAAAACAAATAATAATAACAAAATAGAGAAAAACCTAATTGAATCCTCTAAATCACGTACCCACTTCCCATCCCCCCATTTCACTTGCACGTCCACACAACCACCTGCATACATGCAACTGAAATATAGGACATTACACGGTAAAAAATGACAGAAATATGGTATGGGATCCATTACTCCCTTAATTTATGGGATCCATTACTCCCACACTCACAAGTAATTTCCACGTTTATGGGATCCATTACTCCCTCAATTTATGGGATCCATTACTCTCACACTCACAGGTAATTCCCACGTTTTGCCTTACTGCTACTGCCCCAAAAACGTCCGCATTATCCCTTAATGTATATGTAATGCAATTTCGAAAAACTGCCTTACTGGTGCTGCTCCAAAAACCTCTCCATTATCCCACCATTGATTTACCTCCCAAACGTGGGCTTCCAATTCAAAAAATCATCTTTTATCTGCACATCTATATATATCGGATTTATGTGCTTTACATTTTCAAAACCTTTTCAACTTCATATTTTATCTGCTCAATATACCATTCTGATTAATTGACTTTGCAAATATGGCGACACAAATTCATGATATCAAACAAATTTCAGGCAACTCAATGCAATGGAACCTTAAAGTTAGAGTCGTTCGAATATGGGTAATGCCGGATCGCTTTAAGCCGGAAATACCGTATTCAATTGAATTGGTTTTACAGGATTCTAAGGTAACATATCAAACTTTGTCATACTTCCAAACTTATTAATGTTGTCGCATTCTATATAAGGAGGACTTGGGCAACTACATCAATCACATATAAGTCACATTAATCCAGCATTATGAGAAAGTTGATGAAGTTGATGTTCCTAGGTTCATCTGTTTTGTGGCAGCCTCCATAAGTGTCGAATATTTTGTTATCTTTACGCATAAATGTTGTAGCATTTTGGTTCTTATTGATTGTTCATAAAACTTATATTTATCACTGATGTAGCTATCTGAATTGGGATGTGCGAATTCAAGAATTATAGTTGTTAGATTAATAGCCTTACTAGCCCTTTCCATTCTGATTTTGCAAACCTGGGAACTTTTACTTCTCTGTATCATTCATAAACATCATTCATAAAATAGCGTAAACATTCGTATATATAAAACTTATATGCGACTGTTGTTGTCGATATACTTATATGCGACTGTTGTTGTCGATATACTTCATTTTTTCTGTTTTTAAGAAACTTGAGACCAGATGGAAGATTCTTAAAATGAAATCATATAGCAGTAACCGAAGATCAAAATGGTGGTAGTAGTGGTGTTTTTTTCTTGTCTATAATAAACGTGTTCTTACCATGATTTCAAATCCAACATTACACATCCCTAAACTTGAGTATTATTTATTCCACTACATCTCTTCTTCTTTACTTGATTCTTCAATACCTCTTGCAATGGCGCTTCCTCACTTCTTTCTCTAGCTCATTAAGGGTAGAAAAATTGCCGTTGTCTGTCCGTAACACCTTTGCCCTCTCACCATTTACACAGAATGTAGCGAGTTGCCCTCCACCAAATTTCATTCGTGTGAGGATGCTACGCACAACCTCATGCACAAAGTCTATCATGTGACTTTTATACATCATTCATAAGATAGCGTTAACATTCGTAGTATATTAAAACTTTATATGCGACCGCTTGTTGTCGATATACTTCATTACGTTTCAGTTCGCAGGAATGTCTTTCATATTTCTAGTTTTGCCTTTACTTTCTCTATTAGTAGCATTGTTGGCCTTTTGATATAAAATATTTACGATAACTTCACTATAAGTGCATAAATTCTCTATATTAGCATTCTTACTTTTCTATGAAATAGTTGGGATAAGTTTTTAGGCAGTAATCTCCGCTATATAAGAGCTTATAATTGCGCGCTAATAATGAATATGAGTTTTGTAGGGTGATCGTATACATGCTTCAATCGGAAAGTATGTTCTCAAGTTTTTAGGAACAAGATACATGAAACTTTGGCTATATCGTAATGAACTACTTGTCGTCGAGGACCAATAAATCTTGAAGTTGAGGACTACGACACACCACCTAAGGCTAACATTTACTCAAAAGACATTTGTTGAGGAAACAAATGATCCTTTCATTTTCATATGAACATCTTAACTTGCGCCCTATTTGACCAACTAACAAATCAACAAGATGCCATGAGACAGATATTATGTGGTAATTCTCTTTTAATTTGTAACAAATTAAGGTATTGGTTAAAACTATGTTACTCGCTTTATATATCTATTACTATATATAGATGTTGTTGGTAGGTTGTCACCTTATGAAGATGTTAGACCTACAAGCAAAGGAGATGACGAATGTGTGGTTTACTTCATATTGTACTGCGAAATATCAGTAAGTAATGAAAATTTTAATACTTTTTATGGATAGCTTACCTCTATATATTCATATATTAACCTTACCTAGTGCAACGTATAGGAGAAACAGATTGTGGCAACCTTATGGAGCGAACATGTGGATCAAATTCAACCATTACTCGAATGAATCGACCGATGAGCCCGTTGATTGTTGTTTTTCAAGCATATAAACCTCATAAATATCGAGGCTTTACGTATATTACATGGTTTTTTCCCGTCTTTAGTGTTTAAATATTTTTATGCTCTACAATATTAATTAAACAATACTCAGTATGACCTTTGGACGCCAAGTGCTACTTCAAGTTTAGGCCATTCTTTGAAAAGTGCTTTTTAAGTCAGCTTGCCGGTCAGATTCAGCTACTAACTTTTCATTCATACATAGGCAATTACTCTGTGCGTAGGCTGTTGGTTCAGACAAAGCATATGGATAACTCTACGTTGCCACGTCTACTGAATTTAATCGAGGTTTGTCACGTGTTATACTCCTTTTCATTATGCACACAAAATATAACAATACTATTTATAAATAACAATTTTTGACTTATGTAGGTTACTTGCAGCACGTCCGTCAAACATTGAGCGAATCACTCAAACAAGTTCTCAGCAAAGTTACTCTGTTAGAGATGAGTTAGACAAAGGAATTGTAGAGTTCAAAACTATTAGGGATTTAGTTTAGTGCACGCAAGTGAGTTTAATTAACTTTGTCAATTATATGTACTTCATGTTTTCTGTTTTGCATTAACAATAAACTTTTGTTTTTTTTTCTAAATAGGAAAGTAGTTGTTGGATTGCTGCAGAATTGGTAAGTTTGGAACTTGACCGGGGATGGTCATACTTGGCATGCAACAAGTGTAGTCGAAAGGTTGATAAAGTTGAAAATAAATACATTTGTAAGAAATGCAATGAAGATCAATTTTCATGTACTCACAGGTAATTAGTATCTATGTTTATTTAAAATTTTATATATTAAAAAAAACCATAAGTTTAATCAAAATTGAGTTGCAGGTATAGGTTTCAAGTACGAGTTATGGATGGAACCGCTTTTATCTCATTGTTGCTTTGGAATCGAGAGGCTATGCAGTTTATAGGGAGGTCCGCAAAAGAACTTAAGGAAAGCTCCCTTGAGGTATACTACAAAACTTATTATGATTAACTATAAAAATACTTCTAACCTATGAATTTTGGTGTAGAATTCACTTGCGGATGCTGACTGTTCTTATCCAAGTGAACTGGACGCTATTCTTTATAAAAAAATTAATGTTCAAGGTTATTGTTAAGCAAGAGAATATTGAGTCTCAGGTCGAAGTCTACAAAGTTCTTAAGCTTAGTGATGATGATGACCTTTTAAAGGAATACGGTCACAGTTTATTCGAAGACAATATCACTGTAAATTTTTTTACCTCACAAAACACCAAACACAAAATTTAAGTATAATTACTTTTGCACTCATTGAATGAATGTTCTATTTAATTTCTATTTAACAGGATCCAAAGTTTTTTGATGGACAAAGCTCAAGTGGAGATAAGCTTTTCGGGGTAAATTCCATGAAATTTAAAGTTTTATAGCATTATTTATTTGTTTAACAATTATAGTCAACACTATGCAAGTAACAACAGTTTTGCTCTCCAACTGGTATTAAATTTTTTGGTTGTTGGAAGGATGTAATGGCCGAAAGTCAGCAGTCTATTTTGCAAACTCCCATCGATAAAAGCGTATCAGAAAGTGGATCGTCGGTGTTAGAAGATGGTGATGCTTGCAATGTAAAAATATGTCCTTTGAAGACGTATGACAAGAAGACTAGATCCGCTAATAAGGCATCAGTAGCAGTACCAGATGATGACTTCAATTCTCAACTCTCTAGCAACAAGGTTCGCAAGGTCATAAAGAAAGAAAAGAATCCCTGATTGGTTTTACTTCAATGCGTCTAGCTGTGCACTTATATATTTTGTACTTATGTCGTTTCAATGTTCTGCATTTTATATGTTATATGGTGAAATGACTCTACCTATGCAACTTCATATTTTCTTTATCAATCATAAGTTGAGTTATTACTTATGTTACATATACCAAAAATTGATGCGATTTCCGGGAATGAGGATGCTACATTGGTCCTGCTGACTTAGTATGCTGCAGTCATTGGCGGATCTCCTACCTGCTACCCTACTATCCTGCAATGATGTAATATAAATCTTAGTCAGGCGCATTTAGTTCCTTAGTTAATTTCTCCATTTTTGTAATAAGTCTCTCACAATCTTATGGATGCTTATCCTAAGATTGAAACCAATGGTACATGCGTAATCTTTGTATACTGGTGGAGAAACTCAAACCTTCTTTCGTATGTACTCCTGTTCAATGGATAAAACCAGCTCTTGGTTGGATTAAAATTTATCACTGATGGTAGTTTTATTAGAACTAGCAGGAAAGCTGGGATTGGGTGCATTGTTAGATATAGCAGTGGTGATTTCATCTTTGCATTCTCGATCCTGATCCAAGCCAATAGCAGCTCATAAGCTGAAGCTACAGCAGTGAGATTTGGGGTAGAATGGTGCACTCAACAGGGCTACTCTAATATTCATGTGGAGACTGATTCTCTTATTGTCACTAACATCCTCATCAAGCAAGACACCAATAATTTGAAGCTGCAACACATTATCAATGGTACTACTGCAGTGCTTGGCAACACTGTAAATTGTATCTCTCACTACCTTAGAGAAGCAAACCAAGTTGCGGATCTGTTGGCAAAATTTGCTTCTACAAGTAGAAACAGGACCATATATCACTCTCAAGACAATCTTCCTAGAGAGGCAAAGGGGTTGATTCAACTTGACAAATGGCAGTTTCCTTCCTTTAGGAGGAGATATAAAAAATGTAATTTTTTTGTTAGTTAGGTTACTAATATGATGGAAAGGTTTTTTTGTATAGGCTATGCCTTTCCTATTTGCTAGGCAATTTTTGTAGACTCGAGGCAAGGTTTCATGTCCCCCTCTTATCATTGTAAGTTTTAATATAAATGGTAGGGGTCCAAGTTTAATATAAATGTCCCCCTCCAGCTCTATTCATATGCTGTCTAAGTTATAGTAGCTTTCAACCTTCATATGAGACGAAAGGTTCACGTCCCTGATGTTAATTTCACAACATTGTCCTTAGTACAGTAGCACAAAGCATGATTTGTGTGCGGTACGAATCAAGAAAAACAAGTTACCTCGCCATATTGATGTGATTGTTGATAAATTCCCTTGAGAGGAATATCAATTTCATTTGAGAAAATGGAGGAACACAACGTGCCAGAATATGGACACAGTAAAAAGAGTGCTCGGATAAAGTTTAATCAGAAAATGCACAGAAAGAATGTCTTTGACACAGTTGATGAGATCGTTGTCCGCAAACTAGCTTCAGAAAGCTGTTTATTGTAGAGACGAGATCATTTAAGTTGATAGCAGCTTCTAAAGGAATTGAAGTCAGACATAGACCACCTCAATGCTAAGAAGATTAGCATGGACTCTAAAGATGATGAATTGATAAGTATTCTAAATGCAGATATGAGGCATCAGTCAGAAGATTGGACAAATTGTCAAAGTGAGATTCCAGCATTGATTTTGGATGTCGAGCTCTTAATATATAAAGACCTTATGTGAGATGAAAGGTTCACGTCCCTGATGTTAATTTCAGAACATTGTCTTTAGTACAGTATATTGGTGGACAAACTCAAACCTTCTTTCGTATGTACTCTTGTTCAATGGATCAAACCAGCTCTTGGTTGGATTAAAATTTAACACTGATGGTAGTTTTATTAGAACTAGCAGGAAAGCTGGGATTGGGTGCATTGTTAGAGATAGCAGTGGTGATTTCATCTTCGCATTTTCGATCCCGATCCAAGCCAATAGCAGCTCACAAGCTAAAGCTACAGCGGTGAGATTTGGGGTAGAATGGTGCACTCAATAGGGTTACTCTATAATTCATGTGGAGACTGATTCTCGTAATGTCACAACATCCTCATCAAGCAAGACACCAATAATTTGAAGCTGTTTATTTCAGATGTTATATATAAAGACCTTATTGATGTGAGATGAAAGGTTCACGTCCCTGATGTTAATTTCAGAACATTGTCTTTAGTACAGTAGCACAAAGCATGATTCGTGTGCGGTACGAATCAAGAAAAATAACTTACCTCGCCACATTGATGTGATGGTTGATAAATTCCCTTGAGAGGAATATCAGTTTCATTTGAGAAAATGGAGAAACACAACGTGCCAGAATATGGACACAGTAAAAAGAGTGCTCGGATAAAGTTTAATCAAAAAATGCACAGAAACAATGTCTTTGACACAGTCGATGAGATTGTTGTCCGCAAACTAGCTTTAGAAAGCTATTTATTGCAGAGACGAGATCGTTTAAGTGGACAACAGCTTCTAAAGAAATTGAAGTCAGACATAGACCACCTCAATCCTAAGAATATGGAGTGATTGCATTTGTATTTAGGCAGTGATCTCCGGTATACTCCCACATTGGTTCTATGTCTATGTTAGTGTACTATGTCCACTTGCTAGGCATGACTAAGCTTAATATAACAAACAAATGAAGAGGAAATAATTAAAATTCTTTTCCCAATAAAGAAGAGGAGCTACTCAATTGAAGAGTAAAAACATTATGGTCTCTGGAAAAAAGCAAGAAGGGCATACAAAAGGATTAAATCAGATAGAAAAGCCCCTCCAATCTCAATTCTCATTGAAGACCGGGTAAAGGAGTATCATGAGCGCTCGAGACTCATTGCATTACACAACTCAAAAAGATATACATAAAGCTTTATCAACACTTCCCTATTCTCAATCATAGGTAAATGATACAGATTAGTTGAGAAGTCTAGACCAATGATGAATGCTAAAGCTTTAATTGTAGTAGTCATACAGGTGAAGATCAACATATAAAGAACAAATCAGCAGCCAGTAGGTAATGAGAAGAATAAAACCACAACATTTACAGAAGACAAATGATTAAGGATGAGTTTCATCACGGAAATACCTTCACAAATGTATTTACGGCAAGTATAGCAAGATCAGGCTGGCTTTTGCATAATTGATAAGATATAAGTATACAAGCTTCTTTAACTCCAAATTCTCTGTTTGCATGCAGTTAACAACATCTGTGAAGAGTGAAGAAACATCTTTCCCAGCAGTCATAGCAGCAATCACCTTTTTGACAGCATCTTTTCTCTTGTCCTGCATTGGATACATATATATAAGCACCTCCAAAATTTCAAAACAAAAAAAAAGGGAATGGCCAGCACCGGGCTCGTCTAAATTCGCCTCTAGACGCGAAGGCAGACGCGACCAGGCCAGCCACAAAATTAAAAAAATAGTGAAGTGAGGGCATCGCGCGCCTCACTTTGCGAATTGTTATTTTTTTTAATATATTTTTTCTTTCTTTTTCTTCTTAAAACGTTATAGTTATTTCTTAAGGTAGCTGCGCCTGACTTTAAAGTAGTAGAGAAGACCTTCAACTTCAAAAAACCTAATTCAGTTTCTCACCCCAATATTTCAACTCCAGCGTGCCTCAACGTCAATCAATTTTATACCAACATGTATGTCGTACTCCTGCTTTCATGGTTTTGCATTTGCTTACATTACTTTTTCTGCTAAATTTGTTGTAGTCAAGCCTGTTGTGGTTGCTTCAGAAATTTTCGAGTTCGACCTACACTATCAGAAGTTAGTTTAGCATCGGAATCAACAGACTGAGGGGTTGCCAAGAAGTCGTACATAATTTCTGATAGAATTGCGAAAGACTCTACAATTTGTCGGAAAAAATTCTATTTTTACGGCTTTTTGACATGGAAAACCAGAAAAAAAAATCGCAAGAAAAAATCGCATATGCATACAGCAGCAGAAACGAGCCAAATTTTCGTCGAACGGTATGAAAACTTTGACATAATATAGATTACGAGTAATATTGCAGTTCTTAAAATAATTTGACGTAAATTCGGTCTCTTCTTAAATTTATTTGTACTAGGTTCATCTGTTTTGTGGCAGCCTGCTAAGTTTCGGCTATTTTTTTAACTTTTACGCTAACTTTTGTAGTCATTTTGGTTCTTATTGATTGTTCATAAAACTTATATTTTTTCACTGATGTAGCATCTGAATTGGGATGTGTCGAAATTCAAGAATTATAGTTGTTACATTA